CAAAACGGAATGTTTTCTAAGGGCAAGAGTCTTATTTACTTCCATCTTTGCTCCTGCAGTAGCTAGAATATATAGACCTATAAAACACCACACTCTAAGCAATAAGTTTACACTAACAAGAAGTGAGTATTTTAAGACTATCCAATCATCTATTCTAAACCATATCAAAGATTAAAAAACACTACTGTTATATTCACATAAGCAGAATTCTACAACTGTGGAAAGGATCCCAAGTATGACAACTGTAAAGATCAATAATTACTTGTATCTTAGAATACTTAGGCTAGCCTTAAGTTAAAAAACATTTTATTCTGTTTATTAAGGTATTTTCACATGCTTTTATGGGGAAAAAAAACTATCTCATCTAAATCAATTGAAACCTGTTTTAAAAATACAGACTTCTCCATTTCCAGCCTAAAGTAACAGACCCATAAGACCTGAGGCCTATATATTTTATAAGCTTACTTGGTGATTCTAATGCAGCTACGTAAAAGCTAACATTGTATCACAGCAGTTTATGTATGGAAGGCTACAAGCAGTGATAGAGATGTCTCTAAGTGAAACTTTGCTGACAAGACAAACACAGCATATCCTCTGAACAAAAACTATTTTGATGTACCTTACTACAAAATTATACATTACTGCTACCATATCATTTTCATCAGGCTAAGAAGAAGCATTTCATTTCTTTTTAATTATTCTATTTTTCTAGAAGCTTCTCTTAGGGGTTATTCTTATTACATATTGAAAATAGCTTACTATTTTCAGTATGAATATATACCTGAACTGCTGAATAAGCACTATAAAAAATTGTGTCAAACTTTATAAGTATGCATTTTCAGGAAACTATTAACTGTAAGTACAAACATTTCTAAGCCACACCAAATTCCCAGCAACCACGTGGTAGCTCATAATCATCTATACCCTCTTCTGCCTTGTAGAAAAACATGCAGGCAGAATACTATAATACTATATACATAATTAATAAATAAATAAATAAATAAATACTAAATAAATCTATCTTTAAAAAAAAAAGGCAGTTGTCTCCATCTTGGTCTTAAAAACCTAGTTAGTACTGAAGAGCCAACAGTTAATTTTGACAACAAATACCTTCTCAAAAACATTACCTTCGTCGCAATCATAATACAAAAATGCCAACAGATTCATCTGCACATAGAAATAACAATATTTGAAATAGAATACTAGTGTTAGCACCTTTGCAAATAAGAAAAATGATGGTTTCACTACAGTGAAGTATTTCAGCAAGATTTCTTCTGCTGCCTTACTGAACAATGCACTTGGGTAATGTACTTCTAAAATCAGTTCAGAAAATATTCCCACTACAGCTCTGGACTCCAGAGGATCTTTGCAAAAAGTAAAAAGAAACAAATTTTCAACAAAGCACAGTGATGCCTCATTTTCACTTCAGTTCACAGGAAGCTGTGACTGAGAAGAAATGCCCTAAATTTGAAGCTAGTCTAGGCTCCATGAGTTTGAGGTGAGCCTTGGCTTTGGCTTCAAAGGGAGAAACTATCTCAAAAACTTAAGTAAATAAAACAACTCTAATTATAATTTAGTAATTTTATCAAAACATGAGACATCAACAATATAACAGATATAGTTAGCATAAGTATTTGGCCACAGGAATATTTATCAACACCATAAAATAAGAACAGTGGAATCAAGAGAAACAGTGTCCTTTGTATTTCAGAATTTAAATCTATAAATAATCCATTTCCCTTAAATGAAAATACTAGAGACAATCAGTTTTACTAAATGGCTATATAACACACACACACACAAACACACAAAAAAGGCCAAAACAATAAACTTAAACTTCCAATCTAAACAGTTATCAAAAGTCCAAGACAATACTCATGTCACCTCAAGCAATAACTTAGGTTCTGTAAGTTTCATTTAATTAATATAAAATGATCACATCTAAATCAAGATTTTCATCCACAGTACGAAACAGCCTTCTCTCCTAACTCAACATACAGCTAAGTGCAGAGTACAGAGCAGCTTTACTATCTCTCTGACAAACACATTGTTAAAAAAAATTGGGCCTGAATATACTCAGGCCAAGGTTTAATATGACTCTAAATACTTCAACTATTTTTCAACATTCAAAACAATTGAATACTGGGCCTTTTTATAATTTTTCAAATTTATGCAGTAAGTCACACACAGTACCTGATTATCCTAAGATCTTTAGATCAAATTAGATTGTATACGTTACAAAGAATTTGCCAATTGCTTGAGAGGAAGCAGTGTCTATGAGATGGGATGAGTTTACCTTTCAGTGCTTATATATACTTAGAAATCACAATTTCTCTCACTCAAAAAACATGACTTAAACACTGCCATGAAACAGAACACCAAAAATTTATCCTGTTACATACTCATTGCCTAGAAATGCTTATTAGCTCAGCAGTTATTCATGAGAAACTAAACAAATTAAGAACAGAATTATCCATATCATACTGGCATAGAAAGCTAAAATAGAAAAATAATTCAAATAGAAGGTAAATTAGGCTGTGGGCCAAGCACTTGTCCCACAAGCACCAGACTGTAGCCCATACAATTAGAGGTGTTTCCCAATTAGCTAACCTAAATATAAGTTGTTACCCAGGACTGCCCTCCATACCTGATTTCTGAGTTCGAGGCCAGCCTGGTCTACAGAGTGAGTTCCAGGACAGCCAGGGTTACACAGAGAAACCCTATCTCGAAAAAACAACAACAACAAAAAAAAAACAAAAACAAAAAACAAAAAACAAACAAAAAAAAACAGGAAGGTTGAGATCTCTGCCCACAGGAAAATCTTTTCAATCTTATTTTCAATTTAATATTGAAATATAAAAACATAGTGATACTTCTTTAATATCTTTCCTAAGGAAGAAATCAGAAAGAAAGTTCAACAATTCCAACCCCCATGTACATTTCAAGATATCTTGAGACTAGAGGAAGTCCTATAAACAGATTTTATCAACAAAATCAGATCCAGATATACTGGAATGAACTACATCACTGAAGGCATTTTGTGGCATGAATGGATAACCTTACAGGTAGGCATATTTTACAAGAGAAAATAGAAATAATACTTTAATCAAAATCATTAAGATAAAAAAACAACTATAAATAGACATGGAATTTCTATAAAATGAACATGAATACAAATACTAAAATTAGTATAGTTAAGAAAGAAAAATCAATTTGAGTTTTTAAGTTCAAGCTAAGTAACATTGCTATTGCTTGTGATTACAGATATAATTATTGTCTTGTCTACTCCTATGAATGGCAGGACCATAAACGGCTGTACATGTCAACCAAGTCTAAGAAAGTCCAGTAACCCATTAAATTTCACATTCAAGAAGGCTATATCAAGTAGGCTACTTTTTTTCTGTGCTACCTCAATTATTCCTAAAATCTTTTAAATATTAACTACTGAAACAATGCAATTCTAGCATTTCCCCCCAAGTCAAATTAAGTGATAGAAGTTCTGAACTATTATCTTAGGATGGTTCTATTATCTTAAGATGGAATGACATAATACATTTTGTCTTTATATTCCACTTTAGATTTTCACATCCATTATTTTACACATTTCAACAACCCTATGAAGGAAAGCAAGAATTATTGTCAGTACTTCATTGATAAGGTAAAGCTTTAGGGAAATTAGGTCAACTAGTACAAAGTTCACTGCTAGAAGTACTTGAGTTAAGAATAAAGCCCAGATGCTCTGACTCCATATAATTTATAGTCAACAGTCCCACAAATGGAAATGAATTCCAAATCTCTGATTAAATTTGAATCTTAATTCTAAATCTTTAAAGTCTGTACCTTTGCCATTTCAAACTCTAATCATAGAAACTAAGAGCAAATGCAAACAGTAATAATGGATCTTTAAAAGATCACCTGTACATTAATATGTTTAGAAAAAAATAAAACATACACCAACTGTTCAAACACAGTAAAAACACTGTAAAGCTTGCTTTCTTTAATTTAATAGATTTAACATACTACAGAATACATAATTCACCAACAGAGCAAATAACATTAGCTCTGTATTATTTATACTATATATGACTAAAGAGAAAACATAATTGTTGAAAAATCTTCACTATTCCTAGTCTTAATCTATTCTTGGTGTTGTGCTCCAGCCTGGACTCTACTCAACAACCACAACTGACATGAATCAGGATAAAATGTCCATGAAAGGCCTATGAATTAAGTCTTGGTCCCAAGCTCTGGGAGTTGCTGACAACATTAGGAGATGGGGTCTGGTTGGACAAAGTTAGGTCACTGGGAGCAGAATCTTGAAAGTATTATCTGACTACGGTCTCTTCCTGTCTCTTCGCTTACTGACCACATGAAGTAAGCAGCTTATTCCTTCCCACTGTCCCACCACTGCTGTCTCACCAAAGTGCCACACTCTCAAGTCTACTGATTACACATTGAAATCTCTTTGAAGAGTTAAAATAAACATTTCCTTGCTATAAGTTTATATACTTCAGTTGTCCTGCCTGTGATTAAAAGCTATGATCACAATCAGCTAAAATAAGAAAACTAGGCCACTATCATCTGATGTTTTTAATGGAAGCAGAAAGTATGCTTACGAACTCTGCACAGAAAGAATTCCTATTCAAGAAAATATTAAAAAAAAAAAAAAGCCGGGCGGTGGTGGCGCACGCCTTTAATCCCAGCACTTGGGAGGCAGAGGCAGAGGCAGGCGGATTTCTGAGTTCAAGGCCAGCCTGGTCTACAGAGTGAGTTCCAGGACAGCCAATGCTACACAGAGAAACCCTGTCTGGAAAAAAAAAAATTATAATCACAACTGCTATGAACAAAAATAGAGGACTCTAGGAGATGAATTATTATAAACTACACCAATTACTAAAGAGTAAATTACTACAAAGTATTTCAATACTCTATTACACACATACACAAATAGGTCTCAATTTCATCTATATGATCCATGTGACACAACTCACATGACTTACCTCATCCTGGACACCACTAGTAGTAGTCAATTTGCTCCCATCAGTGATTGTAATAATTATTGCTGGCTCCAAGAAAAAGGGGTTTCTTCCCTAAAGTCAAAACAAAACAAAACAAAACAAAAGGGATATCAAGTCTTAAGTTCTGGCTTAACCTTTAATTACAAAACCAATTCTTAGAAAACAATGTCCACAATCCCTCTGGGATGTATACCATCTCCCTTTTCATTTTTAAAAGATTTCATTGCATTTAATTTGTGTATGTATATACTCAAATGTCATAGAGTATGTGAGGAGGTTGGAGAACAACCTGCAGAAAACGTCTGGTCTGTTCTTTCCTACTATGTGGGTCCTGAGAATCAAACCCAGTCAGGCTCAAAAGTCAAGTATCTTTTTATTACCCACTATGGCATCTCACTAACCCAATCTCTCCTGCTAGTAAAATTTACATAATATATTATCTGTTGAACATTTTAAAACACACTTTTTAGAATACATACTAATACTGTTGAGCTCTAGAGACATAAAGACATATTTCTCACTTCTTTATATATTCTTGTTTTTACTTTTATAGTATGTAATTTTTATTTGTGTATATTATAAAGCATGTTTTCTTTAAAAAATTATATTACACATATTAATGTTTGGTCTGCATGCATGCATATGCACCATGTGTTTGGTTGGTGCCACAGAGGGCAAAGAAAGGCAGAACACAGTTCAGATGCCCTGAAACTGGAATTATGGACAACTGTGAGCCACCCGAAGTGAGTGCTGGGATCTGACAGACCAGTAAATGTTCCTAACAACTGAGCCATTCCTACAGTCCCAATATTTAATTTCTTAAATACTATCCTTATAGCTGAAGTCTAGTAATTTGAATTTTTGAAGGCTATCACAAACCAGTAATAATCACCTCTTAGTCTTTTGGCTAAAATCAAGTATGGTACAAATTGTAATAATCAAGACAGTACTCTAGGAATATGGTGATACACACCTGTGATCCCAGCATGTGGAAAACTGACTATGCATTTAAAGCTAGCTGTCTCAAAATACAAAATAGCAGTCTAAAAGCTAGGTGTAATGGTACACAACTCAAGTTCTAACATTAAGGAACTGAGTAGAAGGAGACAGTCATTGTCTTGCTCCCCTTGTCCCCTGCCTTGGGGGTGGGAGAAAAATGACAGTATTTTAAAGAAAGACAGTCTTGAAGAAGAAAGCAAGACCATGATGACCATGATCAGAATCTAGCCCGTAATCACAATGTCTCAGCAAGTGACTAGCACATGAATACAACTACAGAAACTAATTTCACAGTATTATTAAGGGTATCTTCAGATTAGCAAAACCTAGCAGAAGTCTAAGATAAGGAGATAAAATTAAGGATGACTACATCTCAAGTAAGTGCTTGGAAAAGAACTTATAAAAACTATGATAGCCAAGGAACAAAATGACAGGCTGCTATCAAAGATGAATCTTTTGGTGTCTTCCATTCAAATCCTGATTTAGCACAATGTTACAATGATAATTCAAGGTAATGAGTTTTGGGAAAGACAAACATAACCTTGCCTTTTACATACAAACGGTTCCCAGTTGAGCACTAAGTGCATTCAATATTAACTCTTCACTTTTTTATCTTGTTTTTTTGTTGTCATTGTTAATTTAGGAGTAAAGGAGACAGCATACAAGTGTAAGTCGGAGAACTTTAGGAATCCATTCTCTCCTTCCACAACCTGTCAGGTTATCAGACTTCATATCAAGCACTTTTACTACTGAACCAGCCCTCCACATTAACTCATTTTTTTCCTTTTTTTTTTTCTCTTTTTTTGTTTTTTCAAGACAGGGTTTCTCTATGTAGCCCTGGCTGTCCTGGAACTCACTCTGTAGACCAGGCTGGCCTCGAACTCAGAAATCTGCCTGCCTCTGCCTCCCACGTGCTGGGATTAAAGGTGTTCACCACCACTGCCCAGCACATTAACTCTTTAAAAAAAAAGACGGACTATGGAGATGGATCAGGCAGTAAAGTAGCTGTCACACAGCATGAGGACCTAAGTTTAGATCTCAGTACCCAAGTAAAATCCCAGGCACAATGGTGCACAGCTGTAAACCAAACCATGACAGGAGGGACTGAAGACAAACAGATCTCTAAAACTCACTGGCCAGACCTCTAAAGCTCTCCAAGCATTTACTTGAGGTGGATTTCACTAGCTGAAATCAATGTGCTCCAGCTTCAATAAAAACATGTCTAAAAAAAATAAGGAACATCTAACAATAACCAATGGCCTCCACACATGCACGCATGTACATACGCCACATAATCATACAATGAAGAATAATAAACAGGAAGACAAAATATAGAAATTTCAAGTAGGTAAAACTAGTTTGAAACTGCAGGCACTTATACATAGCACATACTTAGTCTCCACAACTCAAGAGACTGAATTCAAGGCTAGCCTAAGCAACATAGTAAGATCTCCATCTCAAAAAAGGAGGGAAATTCAAAGACATTTAAACTCTCTATTGTCGGTAGCAAAAATTGAATGAAGTTTACTGGATCTGACAACATATAATAGTATATGACGAAGTTTAGTGATTATAAAAATCACTTGGAGATCTTGGTAAAATATAGTTATTCATTCAGTGTTTTCAACAAGTCTGGCAGATGCTAATGTCTACAGACCACACCTCAAATAGTAAGGTAAAGGGTTATATGTACAAACATCTACAGTTTTTTTTCTCTTTCCTTCTCATTTACTACTCTCAATTCCTGTCATATTATAGCACATACCATCTACTAAATGAAACTTACAATTACAGTAATTATATGTCTAGAATCTAATCATCATAAAGGAGGAAGATCTACAAGGTTAAGTATTTTGATCAAGTCATGCAAACTTGTAAGTAGCACATGTTTCTCATATTGATGCCAAAGAAAAAAAACAGTTCTAAAAAGTGAAATCTTCTGTTGGTTAGAACACCACCTTTGCAGAGTTCTAGTACGCACATAAAAAAAGCTAGTAAGTAGTGTTCACACCTGTAACTCCAACACTGAGGAAACAAAACAAGATGATCCCTTGGACTTGCTGGGCAGACTAGGTGAGCTCTGAGAGTACTGAGAGACTCTGTTCCAAAGAAATAAGGTGGAGAAGCAAGCGAGGAATGACACTGACCTTAGATCTCCACATCCACACCCCAAATTTCATACACAGGCAGAGGCAGAGACATGCAGAAGGACTGAGAGAGACAGAGAAACACAAATAGAGAGACTGACTCTAAATATACAACAGCATTAAAATGTCTCAAGATCCCTACAGAACAGAAACAATCACCAGCATCCCTCCCTCTTCACATTAGATGAAACACATAACAATCTCCAGTGCCCCTCTTCACATTAGATAGCACAGATAATCACCAGCGCCCCTCTTCACGTTAGAGAGAACACATTTTTGGGAACTATTTCCCTACACAGCTTCTTGTACCAGTTACATGGAAAAGTTGATCCTCAACCCTAAAAAGTTCAGATCTTCTCAAGAAGCCACATATTGGAAATGTCCATTTCCACCTACGTTTTCTCTCTCTCTAGTAAATACTTGTTATATTCCTTGTTTAAAACCTATCCAATGAGACAGGCAGTGGTGGTGCACGCCTTTAATCCCAGCACTTGGGAGGCAGAGGCAGGCAGATTTCTGAGTTCGAGGCCAGCCTGGTCTACAGAGTGAGTTCCAGGACAGCCAGGGCTACACAGAGAAATCCTGTCTCGAAAAACAAAACAAACAAAACAAAGCAAAACAAAACAAAAAAAACCAAAACAAACAAAAAACAAAAAAACAAACCCTGTTCATTCCAACCCTACTCATTCCAAAAAGCCCAGTTTAAATCTCTGTTCTTCCATAAAGTCTTTCTACTAAGGCCTTCAGTAGCCTAATCTTTCATTTCACAAACTCTAATAGTAAAAATGTTCAGGCTTTATATAAACATTCCTTCAAATAAACATGGGGTTTTCAGTGGTTTTGTAGAGCATATTTAAAGTCAGTCAGTTACATATCAGTGGGACCCCTGAGGTAGTAGCTTTGAGCCCACAGAATGTATCAGGAGTAGACTGAACAACCTAACAAGAAGCTGTTAGGATGGGAGAGAATGCACTTAATACTGTGGAAACTTGATGCCCCAGGGAAGAGGGAAGCTAGTGAGGATGAGGTGGGAATGGGTGGCTGGGTGAGGGAGCACCCTTGGGGGGTTTGGGAGGGATGAAGAACTCAGTGAGGGGTGATCAGGAAGGGGCACAACTTTTGTAATGTAAATAAATAAAAGAATAAAAAAAGAATTACTAATACTTGCCTTTGTGAAAAGCTAACTTAAGGAACAAATGGTAAGTCTAATTTAATAATTTAAAAAGAATTCAAACTGTATTCTGAAACTTGAAAAATGACTAAAAATTGGTTTTGTAATTCCTAAAAAGTAGTAGCAAGCAAACAAGATTTATACTGGTACAGAAAGAGAAATGAAGATATGAGGATAATTCTACTGAAGAAATAATAGTAGTATGGATAAAAAAAACCCTAATATATCAATTGTATTACAGAGACTAAGTAAAAATAATGTGGAAAAAATAATGCACCAACATGTTTGATGATAAAAAAGTAAAATAAATGCAAAGATATAATAAACATATTTTCAAAGTCAGGTAAAGATAGGACAAAACTCAATTTGCCTCACCCAGATCTGTCTAGCCTGTCCTCAAGTTTAATGATCTCCTTAGGTTCTCACTACCAGAGTCATATGCTACCTTGGAAAAAGTCTGGCTAATTGTTGTTTTTCTTTCTTAAATTCACTCTGTATTTGAGTGTTTTGCCTGCACAGACTTCTGTACACCACATGTGTGCTTGATCTGAGGGTGTCAGATCCCCTGGGACTAAAGTTACATACAGATGGTTGTGAGCTGCCATGTAGGTGCTGAGAATTGACCAGGTCCTCTGAAAGAACACACAGTGCACTCTCATCAGACCATTTCTCTCTCTCTAGTTTCATAAATCATTTCTTGAACTCAGCAATCAAATTCAATTTTAAATACTCTAACAAGCAAACCTTGACTGTAT